CGCTATGCGAAACTCCTATGTCAAACGAAGCACAATGAACTACAATCAGTGAAAACACCTTATGAAAAAGTAAAGATAACATTGAATATCTATTAATGTTTTTCAAAAGTGAATGATGCCTAGAAAGAAAGTAAAAGTAAAAAACATAACGTAACTCATCAATTCCATAAGCATTACTGTAATTTAAAATAATTGAGTCTATGACGGGTATTAACATGAAGCAGTATGCTGATTCTAGGGGACTGATTATTGTTAAAAAACCAAAACGTAAGTACGCCGTCTCAGTGGACCTTGCTTGTATAATTATAGCCTTGAATTATGGGAAAGATAATATTTGGAGTCTTGTTACTAAAACAGTTCATAAACAAAATCCCTTAGTGATGTTCTGCTTATTATGAATATGGTAATACCTTTGATACTCTCCTACATCAGCTATTTTAGTAGCATAACAGGTAATAAATATTTAGTTATTCTAGTTTGATATCTAATGCTTCTGAAATTATAATTCAAAACCAAACATCAATATCAAACCACTAGTTTTCTTCAGAAATTTCCATACAACAAAACTTTGAACTACAAATAAGTAGTGGGACGTCTAACTATTCAAAACGAAGTAGGTAACGCACACTGAAATACATATTGTACTTACTACATTTATAAAAATGAAAATAAGGAATACAATAGTGAAAATGTCAACTACAATGGATAAATCAAAACAACAATGAGGAAGACAAAAGTACATGTATCATTATATTGAAGTCAAATTATTATGGAAGGTTTACAATACTCATAAGAACTGAATTAAGCTATTGCCTTATGTAGAGATGAATTAGTAGAATAATTTGGGATAATCAACTTCAAGCCATCACTATAACATGAACTTGTAACATATAATCTACTGGATCGCAACTTCAATTGTTATGACTAATATACTTATTTACGCTGAGAGTAGAACATTTTACAAGATGACAGTCTCAATAATTCACCAGTCGATGTCACTTTGTAGTATAATAAAAAGTACTAATCTTCGCTACGCCATCATAGGTATTTCTCATCAACTGATCAGTTCATACTATTTTAGCCGTGATAACTTCACCAGAACCGCTGGATATCAACAAGCCAGATGCGAAGTTTGAGAGAGATTTTATTCCAGGCATAACTAAAAAGCAGATCAAATTTGAAACGAGCAGAAAAAGTATGCAGATTCATTTCACATGGGATAACTTAATAATCCTTCAGTTTAACGAAATGTTCAAGGTATACGGAACCAGGCTATTACACTATATCTAGATATCAAATAAACCGGTCACTTTAATTAATCTTAATTCAATCCATCAAGTAGATTACCTGAAGGACAGTATTTGGTTTGATTATAATCACTTTTTACCAGTAATATAAAATTCTAACATAATCAATAACCTATTTCGATACCATATGATAAATTGTTCACACACACTCGTTTATTATATTTTTATTTACTAATACTTCCCATTCATACATTTAAATATTAAATTTGCTTTCTATTTTGTAGCAATCTACTATCAATGAAATCGGAGAACATTTCCAAAAAACATTATGTCATCACCGGACAAAAAGTGAAGAAATAATAACAATATCCCGTCTTAATTCAATAGATGAATCCTTATTAACAAAATGTAAAGAAATATGTAAAATGAACCATACAAACCCTAGTGGAATGACAACTTATAACATAAACAGTGATCAATTGAATAATACTTCTACAACATTTCACAAAGTCACATCATTGTAATTGGATTGTATTAGGGATATTTTTTTAGTGAAAAGATAAAACGAGTGCATAGACGATAAGCGGGAATGTAAACAATGATAGCACTAAGAGGAGTTGAACATGCTACACTAAGATGACCTTGAGAGACTATAGTTAGAAATTTTCTATAATAGAATAACCAGGATGTTTTTTTTATATATACTTCTATGTATTGTTGCCCTATCATGCAAATTTGTATAGACTCTAGAAATTAAACTTATTCAATGCTTTAAGGTGATGGCTTTAGTGATGCCTGGAAGTGCATTGGTTAAGTAGTTGTGTTTATCATGAGCGGTTAGATTTAAGATGTTAACTTATTTCTCAAATCGACCCTTCTTCGAATACATATGATTCTGGTATAAATGTATGCACCGATTGATCATTCAAAATTGACCATTTGTTCTCTGATTTTCAAGCTACCACTTTCAGACGTCAATTTTTAGATACTATCTTTACATGGTTTTTCCCGTTTCATTTTTCTTATTGAATCAATTGTACATTTTGCCGAATACCTTAACTTTGATATTGTCATATATGAGCATATTTTTACTTATAAACTAGATAAGTAGTTTTAAATTGACGTTTAAATGAACAGATTTAGAGCAATAATAATATCAATAGAAACCTCGTTTGTCAGTCATTGTGTGATCACTTTTATTACTCTTTTCTTCACGTTATTTATTCTAGATGGAATATTAAAATCATCAAAGTACCTGTGAAATCATAGGACGAATAAAATATGTATTTTGGGTAGCTATGAAATTCAAGACATGCGTCTCGCCCTATTCGGGGATCCACCAGTCCTTAGCATCAACAACAGGATAAATCTAACCCATGCCAACAGTGATATACAATATCTTTTGTTAGTAGATTTTAGGTTTGTTTAGAGATTATCATGATCGCCTTACCTGAGTGAACACAGAAAGGGCAATCTAACATTGAGTACAGTAAAAGAACAATAAGTGAGGTAAAATAACATGAATTCATTTTGTTGTCATCAGTTATTTACATAGGTAGAATTAACGAAACATATGACTTGAACTACAAACCTACAAAATTATTGGTCTAATGATGCAATAATTAAGTTTATTTCTATTATTTATAACAAGAATACATTCAACAATTATTTGTACTGATGGATGGTGAACTGGTTGTTGGAAATTATATAATTTATTCAAATATCTGTATTCGTTGTCGATAGTATTGAGTTCTCTGAACTAGGTTCTCATCAACTCACTACAATCTATAATATTCGAAAATCAAAATTGTAATGTAGCTTGGAAATTATTATGGTAAATATCTGAATAAGGTTAAGAGATGGAATAAAATATTACGATGTCGTATGGAGGATACTCGAGAACACTGAAACCAAAACAACAAACCAAAGGGGCTAGAAATAAGTGATTATGTAGTGAACAAAATCTCAAAAGAATAATAAAATAAATGAAGCTAAGTCAGTTTGAAGTAAACCTATCGAAAGAGAACCAGGAAATGATGCGAGGAAGTGACTAAAAAAAGGGACGTTAAAAATCTGACCTAACCATGTAAGTTACGTTACATGGGTTACCCTGACGCTTGTTTTTGAACACGAGTCAATTTTTTATGCTTGATAGCAGAAGCTTGAGTAGATTTTAGTAGACTAGAGTTTGGTTGCCTATTAACCAATTTGGAATATCACATAAAGTCCACCTGATGTCTCGTACCCGAGAAACGCTTAGAAATTACTGTACATCTTTATTTTTATTGAACGAAGACTTCTCGGGATATGATCTGAAGACTCTGCTAAAGAAAATAATGCCTCTTAGAGAAATTTCCAGGAGCCTCTCAGATGCAGTACACCAAGTGAAACCGTAATGCCAATACAGACATAATCGTTGCTAAAATGAAAGAAGTATCTGTCAACTCTTGATTGCACATGCTTTACACAAGATTACAAGTTTGGCTTCGGGGTAGATTTTATAACATCCAATGCTAAGTCTTCTGCCAAATTTCTTCGCAAAATTTTGACTGATCGAAACTCAGTTGGATAAAGGCGGCCCCTTCCAATGACTAGCTTCTTTAGGATGGTCTTTAATTTTTTTATGTCTAACAATAAACCCTATATCCGGGATTTTCGAAACAGAGTATGCGAGAAATTTCGCAAAACTGTAGACGACATTTTTGAAAGAACAATTATATGGTTTTTGAGTAACAATTAAAATTTTTTATAACCTATTGAGTTTAGAATTAAACAAAATAGAGAATGAAGCTGCATATGGATTCAAATTTCATATTCTATAAGACTATCGATAAAATGGATGCTAGAGCTCAATAAGCAAACTCTTTGACAGGTTGAAGGACTGGAATTCAGTAAATGAGAACAATAAGGGTTGGTTTCAATATAAATTAGTCGATATTGGTAACCACTACTTTACCTCACCCATTTCAGACTTGAGAATACTGTCTAATGAACACGAAATTTGATTGCCACACTTACAAAACAAAGACAAGATAATAATATTGCAGCCAAATAAAGGTTACCAAAATTTAATTCATTTTAAATGACTAGCATAGACAAATATAGCAAACTTGACTAATTCAAAGGAAAAACGAATCACTGACAACTCTACGTATAGTTATTAAAGGCCTAAGTGGTTTTATTTGCCATACATGTGTGGTCTATCAAAGATACACATATCGAACATCCCACTCAGACCTATATAACTAATGATTAATTCAGCATAACAGAAGATAGCCCACTATCTAGCAGAGATGTGAGAATCATCTCATCAACAACTAACTGTATACACCTTGAAGAGTGCTATTTGATCTGATGAGAGATTGGATAACATTAGCATCTCTAGTAAATTAATTACTTTCTTTGCTATAATATCCCTTTTTTACCAAAATAACTCTTCTTGAAACCACTGACGTTAAGTGTGATAATTCTGAACTTTTGTATTTATCAGTAACAAAGTTCAAATAATTGCTACTTATATCCATGTAAAATGGTCACTTTCACCGACGCGCTGTATAAAATCTTAATAAAATATATAGAGTTAAATATACGGAAAATATTTCTAATTCTACTTTTAATGGTAACAGTAGGAAGTTGTTTCAGTGAACGAAGATTAGTCAAATTAACTACACAAATTTTTCATATACCAAGTAATTAAATTTAGGAAGTAAAATAAAAGAAATCCATCCATCAATATAGATTAACTACTAAAGGTAAATAATATTGTAGTTTATATTTGACTGAAAATGAACAGATTACACAATAAAAGAGTAGTAATCCACTATACATATGTGAACATATAAACATACGAAGTGTTAGTCTTTGTATGCATTCATTTTTTCTGTAATACTTTGTACTATCTCCTGTACTGGTTTAACTTGTCCATAATAGTCGGAGAATTTTCCTTTCGGATCCAGTAAGTACATTATAACAGTGTGGTCAACCTATCGATATTAAATGTGAACAAATCATAAATATAATTTAAAGTAATATTATGGTGTAGGTTACTTATATCCATATAGGTGGCATATAACAGTGGTCAGGCAGAAGATCGATAAGGAAAGAACGAAACGGGACGCAATTGGTATGAAAAAACATGGACAATGAAATCTGAGACAATGGATTGATATTTGCAAAAAGAACAGTGAAGTTTGGGACGATGGATTGATATTATAGCACCTCACGTGCAATTGAGTTTGTTCTCATTTAATTCGGTTAAGCTCTTTTGTTAACTTATTTAGCGGACAGAGTCATCCGTACTATAACAACTTGTTGTGCCTTTATTATTGTTATGCTTGTGTGAAATAGGTATGCTTGAACATTGCTTACCGCCTACGCATACATTCATTCTGCTAGCATTATTATTAGCTGCTTAACTGATCCGATGATCCATTCGTTTCCCTATATATATACATGTACATTTAAACCTACACACTCTACACTCTCAATTCGCTGACTCACTCACTTTGCCTCTCTGCTTTGTGGTCTGAGTTGTTTGCTAATAAAACTGTAGTCGCTGCTTCTCTTTGCCTTCTGATTTCAAACACCGTTGAGGACTATATGGTAACGGTTACGAGGGTGATTGGTTAACGAAGCACAGCCACTACAATATTTTGAAATTAACTATTTACTATATGGTTCTCAGATTTTAGTGAGATGCTCTGTAATTTCGTGTCAAATACATTCGATTGTCCCCACTAGTGTTATTGTTCACTAAAATATCTCGGATCTGTAACAAAAACACTAAGAGCTTGAAAGCCAGCTCCAGAAATTTTTATTGATCATTTGTCCAGTGTATCAAAGATTAATTCTTGATGTTTGTATTTACTGATAAGCGCACATGGGCTATTCCCATATCGTTAGTTGATTCATATAAGAAAATAAAGCATTCAAACGGACACATAGTAGAATCCACTTTTTCCACTTAAATAGTAATTTGTTTGCAGGTACAAAACTCGTGGTAATTTAAAACAATCTTATTATTCAACAGACTTGCTTAAGAATGGTCTAAATAGAAAAGTTTTGAATAGACATGAACTACACAGAACACGTACCATCGAAAGGGTGAATGAATTCGACGAGATGCAACAGAGTTTCTATCATTTCTTCTACATGCATAACGATATGACATACACATCTTTCACATACACAGACATCAAGAAAATCAATCGAAGTTGTGGTTTAGTGGTTGAAAACCTATACTTTCAACCAATAGGTCATACGGTAACTCAACAATGAGAACACAAAATTGAGCTTGGTTATGAATTTGCAGTAAATAAACGGACATAATAAAATTGATCTTTGTACACAGTGGCAGATTAAAATATCGCGGATAAACTTATGTTTTGAAGTATACTTGTGCGAAAACAGATATCGAATGTAACTTTTAGGAAGAAAAACGGCCTTATCAATCTAAAACGAAGAGATTTTAGCATGATGCCTATGAATCATAAACAATTTTCCCTGTGGGGATTAAGAACAAATCAACGACAAATAAAAAAGTGACGATTATAAATTGGACATTATGGTACATAGTGTGCAAACTGGTTGACTCCTTACAAATGTTACTGCATGAGGCTATCTGACTGATATGTTACGATCAAAAGATTAAGCGAGGGAATTAATTATTTAGCTTAAAATTTAATTCAATCAATTTGACAGACGAACAAGTATTCATTTCTTTATTCTTTCATTTATTTGTTTATTTGAACATATAAATATTGGTACGAGGGGGCACCAAATATATATGCGCCAAACAATAAAAATGAAATTGTGAAGAGATGGGGAATGGAAGGCGAGCATATTAAAAAATGGAAATCAACAATGAACGAAAATTATTGTATGAGAGTGAAATTATGATTGTCATTATTATCATTATTATGAAAAGAGCAGTTCAGTTAGGTAAAATACAACCAGAAAGAATTCCTTCAGTTAAAGTTGCGTTGACTTTTATGAAGAAAGTAAAGGAAAGTTACAGCAGGTTCGCCACTGGCTTTTACTCTGAATTATTTCTGATAGTTTCAAGCCACTACGTTGTAACATCTTCAGGAACCCACCAGGGAATATTGAAGGGTCAACAGAACCCAGTCCTGTACAGCTTTCTTTCATATCACGACACCATGACGTGCACTAACCACCTCTCCGCTTTTTTCAACCGGTCTTAGCGTCGGCAAATAATGTACGGTGTGGAACCACTGAAGTCGGTGTTTCAAGGTGGTGACACCAAATGAATTATGGTCGCTGTGCCCGAACACACAATGTTGAACCTCTGTATTACTAACATAGTGTTGACATTGAATGTCAGCAACCCTTCGGAAACAACGATGATAACATCCTTAACTCAGAGAAGTCAGGTTTCACAGGCGTTGAGAAAAACTGCTCTCACCGTCGCGTTATAGATCCGACCTTTAAAAACCAGACTAATATCATGAAGGCGGTCCGCATTGACATAAGCCTCTCTGGCTTACGTTATACGTGAATTGATCTACTCACTCATGCCACTACCACCACTTACACATCCACCTAAATACACGAACTTCTCGACTACTTCTATCTGCACACTACTCAGGGTGAGTACAGGACCCTGGCCCTGCACTTAGAAGATGCAAAGTACATACCATACCTACGGACACTTATTGCTAACTGGTTATCGCACAGTAAGACAATATCATCCGCATACTCAAGATCGAAATGTCTTTCTCCAGGCAACGGGTCCATACTATCATTATCTACATCCATCAGGGCTGTTTCCACAACGTCATCGCTAACAAAGTTGAAGAAAAACGGTGAAATTAGACAACCCTGCCTAACCCAACTGTTTGAATGGAACAATGGAGAGGTGGTTGTATGCCATAACTCTGTCTGAGATGCCAGCATATAAAGCCTTAAAGACGTTAATAAATTTTTCAGGCACACCCTTCTTCAATAGACCATCCCAGGGAACACGTCTGTCCGACGAATCGAAAGCGGCACTGATGTCAAGAAACACTATGATTGTTGGCCTGTAATAGGTAAGACGTTCTACGATTTAGTGTGGGGGGTGAAACTGTGACCAATACATCCTCCATGGGAACGAAAACCAGCCTGCTCCCCGCGAGTCAATCTTCCTCGGGTTCGGAAAATCTAAGAAGTTTGTGATGTGAACAGGGAAACAAGAAGCCCTGACAAACTACGAAAGCTATTTTTCGGGACGTTATTTCATTTTATTCAAAGCTTGTAAAACACTGACATTTATTTTTGTCCCTATTTTATTCTACAGAACATGAGCTTTCGTTCGATGTATCATTCACTGCCATACCCCTTTTTGTTCCGAAGCTATTGTAATTTAAAAATAATATTTTGCATTTTATTTTCTACTCTAATTCCCAGTTTTGGACATAATTGTGTTTTCCCAAATTATTGTACGTTGTGGTCGGGTAAATCACCTATTTATTCATGTACCTTTTTGCACTAATCTGAATTCAGAGAATTTACAGGAAAGCAGTATATCGGAATAGAGCGAATAGTGTTCCAGTTGTCTTGTCTTCTTTCATTACCGTGCTTGTCAGCCAATCATGTGACAGAATAGTTTTCTTCTCTCTACCTCGCCTCGAACTCACGCGTACTAGCCTCAAGGTTAAACCGGTCAGCCTATTGCGTCGAGGTTTTAATCTATAGTAGACAGATCAAGGTCATAACACTTTGGATGCAATCGGAAGTAGACTTATCCACCGATAATTGATGTAAAGATGATGCGAACCCTTTTTAAAGATAGGGACAACTATCAACTCATCCCACGACGTTGGAACACTCTAATTGCCAGACACTTGTAAATAACTCAGTTCATTGACCAGGTCTCCACCATTTTTAGAAAGGTTGTATCTTTCCATTTCTGCAGCAATTTGGATGACTCTCCCGGTTTCCCATATTGTACGAGCATTCCATGTGCCTAAATTAATCGTTGTTCCGGTTGTCGGAAGGGACATTAGCCTTGTGACTTCCGAAGGAACTCAGGTTCCACCATGAGGCGTCATAACTTTTCTAAATGAAGACCTTCTAACTCCCGTGGCAGAGTTTAAATGGCTTGAATTATTTCTTCTGGTTAGCGGTTTTTAGCGAGTTAGTTTTCTAAGGGCAGGAAAGTCTGGTCGATGTCACCGAGGTAGCGGACCAGTTGAACGTCTTGAAAAACTCTGCCCATCGTCCAAGACGTCGGCAGCAGTTATTGTTCGGCATCTCATCAGCTTCACAAATTTTTTTCACGCACGTCAGACTTCTTGCTGCTAGCGATTTGAAAGCCACTCAACACCCAAAACCCAAACACCACAATTTCATAAAACCAAAACCATTTAGCAATACTTTAAACACTAATTCATCATATATGCTACTCGTAACACGCATTCAATGTACTGAATAACCACTAAACACCAAAAAAACTCACAATATAATCGCCATCTGCATCTTTTGGTCCTGCACTGTAATAAATACGATAGAGCTTAGAAACTTTATCAATTTCTTCTTTAGTACCGGTCAGCCCGATCAGATGTGGTGAAAATTCTACAGCCAAAAACGAGAAAGAAAACATAATTTTATCATTAAAATGAGATCTTACCACTTACAATAAAAACATTTAATTAATCCCATTATTATCTGGTTGACCCAGTTACAGAACTTACTATAGCCAATTATACAGTGACTCTGCTATTACCTAATGTACACATAAAAAACAATATGTTGACACTGCATATAAAATTGTAGGGATTTAAAATAGGAGTCAGTGAGTTACACTTGGTGAAAGTATTGCATAGAGTAATACGTACGAATTTAAGCAATACTAGGCACCAGATATCATGGCCAATACTCACCAAATAAGATAATTGCTTTTCGGGTTCCCCTTGTACAATAGCTCAAGTGAAAATATTGGTTGTAAGAGATTGCAATTAATCAAGACTCTCGACAGTATTAGAATTATTGTGATGACAGTAGTGAACAAATCATTTTCACTGGCTTTTTATGTCATGAAAATTTTGGTACAATACGACACCGAAAAGTATGTTATACACGGTGTACCACACTAAACGCTTATCATTTGCACATTTTCGTACAAAAAAGTAAAAACAATAATATCCCTCAAGTGCTTGGCTTAAAACCACTCAAAATCATTGGTTGAAGACATGAATAAGATTATGATTTCACTTAATGCACTAGAAATAACTAAATTCATCTTATGATTTGTCTCTGATTAAATACTATTAACTGTGGTACTTCGAACGTTAACCTTTTTGAACAAATGAGCTGTTTTCAGGTTTTATATAGTTTTTTTTATTTATCTTCACTCCTGATACAGTGAATAAGTGAATGTAAATAGTTACGAATCGCTTTTAGATAGGAAAAATGATGGTTAAAATTTCATTTTTTTGTTCATGATTGGAATTTGACTGACAATTTGCTATATTTAATAATACAATACGAAATGCTAGACTTTGGATAGTTAAAATTAATCTGCATTAGGACTCATACTCAATTATTATAACTGCTCATATTCACCAGTAAGATTTATATGTAATCTTGGACTTCATAAGTGACCGAGGATTTTATCATACACTACTACAACAAGTGTTACCACTGAACGGCTTAAGATATTACAGCGAAAATAAATATCCTGCAAAATGACACGAGTTCTGTAAAATTAACAACCCTTTGATTATTGCTAAATAGTACATTAAAATACAAGAAATATAAGATGAAAACTTATTACCTTTAACGTATTTAGCTAAAATATCTGGGGTATCACGTTCGCTGTCGACAGACATGAATACAGGCACTAAGGGATACTTGGGTTTTTCAATAAGCACTGTAAGAAAAAGCATATTTGTGATGTTTAAAGAACTGGTAGTATTAAAATATGGGATGGGTCGATGGTTTATAAAACTGAAAACTAGGTTTCACATTGAGTGCAACAACCACTACCTTAATTCAAGTTTTTACAGAAAGGAAAGTTTTGATGAAAACTAAAAAATGATGCTCATCTAAATGTTTTTAGTTTTTCATATTTCTCCAACTGATGTCTAAAAACTTAAGTGTAAAGCTGCTAAATGGTTTGACTTGGTATTTTTTATACGTACGAGACGAGATAATTAGATTAGCCTATTGTGTTATTGAATAAAAATAGAATCCAGTGAAAAAAATTTTCTTTTCTTCATGTCTGTTTAGTGGACAATTGTCGCCCATATTCCTAACCTGCAAATTATTTTCACCCTCAGATGAAGATTTGTAGCTCATTTGGATTATTTAGGTGAGGTTTGATGTCGGATGCTTTTAGTATTCCCTCTATCTAAGATCTCAACATCTTCGCTTATATCAAAGCATGTGGACAACTGTGGACACACATCTGAGAAGTTTTAAAAGCTTGACGCTTAGGTCTATCAGTAAATAACAAACACATTGAAATCGATCCAATCTATTAACCAATCAGGAGAACCATGGACAAATATAGGATCAAGAATCAAATCAAAGGTAGATACAATCAAAATAAACAGGAAGGCAATGACAAGTTAAAGGTCAACAATAACCAATCAGGACCGAGACCGACAGGATAAGCTGTGTCATACGTAAAGAAGTTCAAATAATTCATTTTTACTTGAAGTTTGTGCTGACGCTGTTCAAAAGAACAATCGAAGCTGCATGGCCAAACCATCCAGCTCAAACAACAAAACTCCAACTATTTTCATCCTCCTATTCTTCTCTAACCCCTTGATTATTAGGCAACATTTTAACATTTGAAATCTAGGATCACTTTATAATGTAATCACTCTATCTTTCTATAGACATACATATCAAGCAACTATAAATACGAATATACAGCTTAAGTGTTATGTTTGAAGTGCCTACGAGTTCACCTAGTCTGAGAACGGAACAAGACTCTGTGACCAAAGACCAATACGCTAACTATTCTGATCCGTCCCAGCTCCGCTAACTAGAGAGAGAAGTCCAAGTTCTAACACGGAAATATATTTCGCAAGCAGCCAGAAGCACGAGCAATCACGACAAGTCTAGTCGGAAATACACTCATTTATATATTAGTTTGTACACCCATTTTTTTTACTAATAATCAGAATAAAATCACATATATGAAAAATACTTAGTTAACAAACTATATGCTGAGTATAATTCATGTTAACTTAATACAAGAATGTCGTATGTTAGACAGAATAAAATACCATAGGGGAAAACGAAACAAATACTATACCGAATGATCATTAAATTGAATTAAACGGAATTAATGTTGAATAAAAATCATAATGAGTAAATTAATCTAATATTGACTTTTCATCACGTCATAACATTAAGCAAATGATTTTGTCGAATAGGATGATACTTACACTAAAACAATTGCGTCCAATTTCCACAAAACAGAAATGTTTTGTAATCATAGCTTATAGATAATTAAGTGATTTGAACAATATACCACACAAGAATGAAGATAATTTGGTGGATAGATAGTCTATCATCCTCGAGTAAGACAATGTCACCAGTATTGCCATAAAATAAGTACCTTAAAAAGCGATATTATTTAGTCTTTACGAAAATAAGAAATGATTACAATCACTTTACCATAGCAATGCAAAAATAACATTTCAAATAAATGAACCTTTTTGAGTAGACCTAAAATCCCGAAATACGTTTTGGTTGAAGTATGAAAAACTTAAGGAAAATATGAGACCTATTGACTCAATGTGGTGCCGAAATAAACCATAATAATAATGAAATCAGCTGTTAAGACCATAGAACTACACTAGACAAGATTGCAAAATTACATACTAAGCAAAAAAGATGGTCACATTTAATAAAATTACTTAAACATTTCTTTAGCTTACTTATTCTGTCAGATACTTCCACAAGTCTCTCTATTTGTTCTGGGCATATATCTGGACATCGGCAGAACCCAAAGTACAACAGAACCCATTTTCCGCGGAAATCAGCTAATTTACATGGGTTTCCATTATGGTCAACCAAATTAAAGTCGCCACCAATAGATGGCAGACCATATTTTTGTTCTGATATTTTTTTGGCTAAAATGTTAGGAACAATAAGGTGAACGTTCGCGACAGTTGATTGTGATTTTTAATTATCATCCAACAATTTAAAAATATTCAGAAAAATCAACACGTAAGTTCTGAGAAATTGGCAGATGGGACCCATAAACAGGGTTATTCACAAATCAGGTTAAAAATATTCTCAACACGATGCTGAGTTACATTTATAAGAAATAAAAATATTTAATTAACTGTGTGAAGACCAAATTAGTATGAGAAATAGGTAGTGGACGGAAAGATGAGTAGAGAGTTACTTATTATCAGCTAAAGCTGTATAATGGTGTTTTATTAGCTTAAGCAACCAATTTCCAACATATTAGTTGGAGGCTCTAATTCTGTCCCCCTTCCAGATGGGTAGTCGGTTAGTATCGTTAGTTCTCATTATAAGTGGGGTTAGAGTATACAAAGTATAAAAGTACCCGCCAAATACACTTAAACAGTTATACACTGCAACTAGTAGCATATGAAACTGATGAACTATTCACACTAATTTAATAAGTTATAACCAAACTTGATTAACCCGGACTACGTCAAAAGTTTTATATTCACCTGCATACAATGAATTCAAGAGTTGGTAGTCCAAATTTGAGCATCACCTGCAAGGTGCTGAAACAGATAACTTTGTTTACTAAAACCAACATTGTCAACTCTATACATTAAGCTACTCACCTTAAACAAATCCTGATTAATTGTCAAGACTTTTCACCCTATAGTTTCATCCTGAATAAACGTTTATAAAATACTGTATCAACCACCCAAAATATATTCACTACTTATTATTTATTTGAATATAAATATTGGTACAAAGCGGTACTAAAATATATATGCACCACAAAAATCAGTGGATGTGTGGCCCGGAATACTGTCTGGGTGCCAAAACTAAGGCAGGTAGTTTTTCTAAGGGGCCACACCCAGAGCCTTCGACCTAAATGTCTAATCCACAGGGCAATGGAACAACGCTAGGAGGTGCGGACTCATAGTAGCCGGTGACCAAGAGTGAGGTCAGTCACCATTTGCATCCTTAGGATCCTGGAGCCCATGTGCACCACTAGTTTGAAATCAGGGTTTTCCAACTCTCTAAGGTGCGTCTTCCGAAACCATAAACCGGATATTCGCACTTCAAGTCATTCACCCGCTACGGCAACGCTATGTGACTGTTAACATAACGACATTGGGAACTAAACAAGAGGTAAGATAATAAAAAGCCACATATGTTTACTCTGCACCCGATGACATTATATAGCAGTGGGTGAAATGAATGAATGACAAAACAAAAATTTCAATTAGTATACTTAGATCCACAAAATTAGTCACTAACCTTTTGCAAGGTCTCTTGTCAGTAAGACTGAACCTACAGTAAATGACCCTGCAAGGAAAACGAAAGAGCACCAATGTATGTAACGCATCCTCTGGAAAGTATACACTGATAGGATGAAAAAAGGCCTACATCTTCTGGACTAAGGGTTGACCTGAACCTGGCAGGAATGAAGCCTCGAGACAACAGTTTGCTGAACGCTTTGATCATTCCCATTAATTAAGTTTACCTCGACACCCCCAACGACTTTAAGCAAAAAGACAAGACTCGCATATCTCATTGATTCGGATCTTGCGCACAGTGACCACCTTCAGGAGTACGATATCCAATAAGCGTGTGTCGAAGTAATGTAAACTAGCCAATTTCGCCCTATTTGCGTCTTGACATGAAAATGAACCTTCGGGTCTTTTAGTTTTCCAATCTCCCTATTTTGATGAAAATTTCATCCCTTTTGAGAAAATTCGGGGAAATGACATAAAAACCCCAAAATTTCCCTATATATGGGGAATCCCCAAAACTTTGAGGAAGACGATTGGGCTCTGGAGAAAACCCCGAAATAGGGAGATTGGGTTGGTCCATAATCATAAGCTACCAATTTTGAGACAAAGTCGATCGATTTTCGATAATGCTTGCGACACCCCTGTAGAAGATTTGGGGTGAACTTTGGGAAAATGAAGTAAAACTGGAAGTTCCTCTGAGCTGCGAATTTTTCCAAAACTTTGCCTGAACTACACGCAAAATGTCACATCGCAGCGTTTCACGATGACCATCTCCAAAATACAAATAGACCATAAAAATAAGAGCAGGTCACAAACGTTCAGACGACCTGTGAAGTTCTGTTGATATCACCAGGAGTCTGGTTCCAAATCAGTCAGTAATGTAGCTAAAATAGACTCTTAAGAATATGAGAGATGAATAACCTCTCTGAAAGTGACGACTGCTGAGGAGGGGTGCCTTGATGGTCGTCGTTTTATGTTGGACAGAAATTCAGGCTTAAACATTTCGGTGGATACCTGTGCTGCACTAAGTATTACGCCTCAGAGCAAAAACGGCTGAGCCGAAAAATTCCCTCGGTTAAATTTCAGGCTGACAATAAAACTGAAGTCACGACATCTGAGCAGAAGACGTTTATGCTGGACTTAGGTTCTAAGAAGCAATTTCTCTGGGTGCCAACTGCAGCAGATTTAGGTTCCGCAACGATGTGAATTGACTTTTAGTGATATTGAACCCTAGTCACGCGATCTTTGAAGCTGAGCATATAATTACAGAGAAGATCCTCATTCAATATGTTACACTTAGGCAAGTTCAGCTCAACAATTGATCGGTACGGCAAGGTTCAGCCTTATGGATGTGGTCGCCATATAACGTAATCCTCTCCATATCAAACATATTATTCTATCCTCAACCTGGACGTAATCCCTCATTGGTCCAGAACATCATACTGCTAATCTTAACGATAACAAGTGTCGGTAAAGACGGTGAGATTTATTCCACGTAAGATCCTACAGATTAAGTAGTCACATCATGACAAATCTACAATTTGGGGATTAAGTCTGCTATCATAGTAGCGAAAATAAATGTACTTATACCAAACTAGACCACAATTCGGCAATGTTAGTACAATTTTCGCAAGTTAGTTATTCGGGATTGTTAATAGTATTAATAACAATGTATTCTCAAACAGCAGTCTGTTACGTGAGGCATGCCAGTTTACAGGTAAGATCAAATCGTTACAGGAGATACAGTCTTCACTGTGGTGGGTTACTCAGTTTGTTCGATGTTTTATAGGGTACATTGATCACAAAAGTGCTTAGAGACTTCTCAATTTTAGCAGTGGTGTAGAATGGATGTAATTGGTACATAATAACTTGCTTTTAAATTAGGACAAGTTACTCTAAAGTATTTAGGCGCTGAGTTAATGCAAGACATTGGGGAGGAAGAATATATTTGTGAAATCTCAGAGACCGAATTTTAAGTAGACCTAACGTTTAGCCTGGCAGTATGGTCCAAGCGTTTTCAAGGAGAAATAGCCAGACATAAAAATTATCGAATATAAACAGAAGGCTGTATACCAAATAGGTCATCCAATCATGTTTACACTGTATATATGGTATTTGCTTCAGTGTGTAAGAGACATGTGATGTGTAACAAAAAATGTTAAGATAGTAGATTGTGTGTATTCATGAGAGGCTTGAGAAGAAATTTCATTCACTATTCATCACCTCTGATTGGTGAATTTTCAAAAGAAAATATACAATTTTTTAAATGTTATGTGGATCAATTGTCACAGCATGCATAAAATGAAGATAAGTAAAAAAACAAAAATAATTATTGAATGAATGCTCGTGTTATTTTTCCTGTCCCAGCTAATTATTCAAAATATTCAGGTAAGATAGCATTGTTGTTACTCAGATATTAAGTGATAGATTGGATGGAATAATGAGTTTAGGCTTACTTATTATTCATTAGTTGTTATGGGACAGCTAATTGTATTCCATCCCTCGTATTAATACTATTTGAATTTGCACATTTGTTTAGGATTTCATCTGTTAGTTTCACTTTGTAAGAATTCAAACGCTTTTGAAAGATTCTTGTGACAATGAGATAAATTGTACGACAATACTCTGTTAAGTGTAATGATATGGGTTATTTTGTCCAGCTTTTTTGTGTCAACTTAGAGTTCCAAAATTTGCATTAAGCATTTGTCTGCCTTCGCCATCACATGCAGTTGTCGTGATATATATATATATATATATATATATATATATATATCATCGCAACCACTACATTTGATTTCGTAGACAGTCTATTTATCTTCATGTTATATTGGATCTTTGATACTAACCAGCCTTAATCTTCAAAAACATGTTTGCTAGAAAGAAGGACCAATCTTATGTCTTCTGAAATTCCTCCAAGACATGTGTCCACCAAAGAATTAACCCATCATCCACTCTACGTCATAATTTACCGAGGATGCTCTAGTGATGGCGTCTGGAAAACCATTCACGATACGGTAAGAAAGTTTTGAACTTGCAATGTATTTTAGATATTTATAATCTCAACATCCTTAAAACTAATATTCCGTCTGTTGTTTGCTGTGAACCTGTTATTTATAACGTGACAAAATCGCCAATCGGAACACCGACCTTGTCCTTGCGTTTCCAGCAGATCCTCATAGTACATTCAAAAAATCATGACGAAAACCGAAAGATAACGGTCCTGTCAAAGAAGAGTGAGACATGTTAAAATACGGCTACGAAGGATGAAAATTGGTTGGGTGCAAGAGGGAGGGAATCAAGCGAAGAATAGTATCGCTATCAAACAACAGACGTTGGGGTGACTAGAAAGCACTCACAGAGTGACATAGATGTTCAAAAAGACTTTGTATGTTCTTCCGTTCAACCTTGCGAACAAATCTATACCTTCTGGTCCCTTGGAGAAAAAGTGTTTCGACACTCTAAATTAACCTCAAGCATTGATTCTGGGTAAATGTTTTCTCTTCAGTTGTTTGGTAAACACTGAGACGACGACACATCTGAGCTAACAGGAGTTACTGTCCACTTGGTTTCAAAGTGCCACTGTAAGTCTAACATCCTAACATATCGTTCTACAGATATTTAGAATCTGTTTGCTGAGTGGGACTGGTTCACTTAGACGATGCTCAGTAAATTGTTGTTCTAGATTCTGAACACAAGTCTGAAACGTGTAAAAAGGATACGGTTATTTTATGAAGGTGAGGGTGAAAAAAGTGTGTAACATGTAAATATGTCACACTTGTTCAGTGCTTTTGTACGCATCGTCTTTCCAACCGAAGGATGGCAAACACAGTCAAAACAGGAGTCAGTAATGAAGGCGTTCGAGGATGTGTCTAGAAAAATGCCAGTTTATCGAGATGTCTGTGTGATCTAGACTGGTTAGTAGTTGAGAGGACTGAGTGGTACAGAGTACCAAACGGTAATCCGGTGTGGACGCATGACCGAACGATTTCAGCTCGGGTGCGCCTAGTAACATTAGTGAGCTCAGCATTAACGTCGTAGACTTACAGAACTACATATTGTGGAGGTTATTTAGTACCACACATGAACTGTTCTTCATGATATACAGGATTTGAAATCGACCTACCTATTCCCTCTGAGATTGTCCACTCTGGAAAACTTTGTGTTGGTAATTGACTCGCTGAATCAAACAATTTTCTCAACACTCAACACTGTTGATCATCTTATTAGTTTCAGCGAATACGACATGTTGAACACTTTTGGTCAAGTGTCATTACCAGACCACAACAGGAACTGATGTAAAACGACTATTCCACTGTTCGTGCCTTATTTTTGTGGTCCATTATCTGACTCCAATTGGATTGTAAGACGATTGTTATCGAAATGTGCATCAGACAAAAACAAGTTACAGACACGTGATAAATAGGATAAACAATTGGCGCACATATGATCGTATAAAAAGCAGTCAGGGTTAATATTCGAATAAGTGACAGAGTAAAGAAGTGGGTTGAGAAGAATGGATAGATTGGTCTGTCCAGGGGCTAGAACAATCTGTGTGGGCTTGACATGGTGGCGGCCACTACATCGTCAAGGGTTTTACTTATCTCTATCTTTCCCTAAAATCAAAAATTATTTTCACTTTATTCATCATTGCCTTCTTCTTCGTACGCTTTAAGGGAAATGACAGTATTGTAATCATCAACGCACTTTCATATTTCCTATTTCACTTTACTCCGATAACATTCTCTGAACCTTTGTTCAATGCTGAGAGCTTCTGTAAACACTCTTTCATAATGTGGTCGCGTGAGTGGAATGAGAGTAATTTCCTTCCATATTACATTCTTTGGTATTGCCATGGTCTTGAAACAATTAACACCCACACAAATGAACTAGAATTAGCTTGCTTAATTTTGGTCCTCTGTAATGACAGCGAATAATACTCATTTTCATAGCAGAAATACAGGTCAGCTGGATACAACGACATTATAGGTTATGTCAAGTAAGACTGTAAACCGATTTTGAGCGTCTGATACCTGAACGTTGTGTCATCATGGCAACTATATAAGTATGGCTGATTGTGAAGTGAGAGTTGACTTGAAAGTGATTCTCTCATCAAGTAAATCTGTCGAAACTTTTTAAATTCGTAACTCCAAAAGCCTGGTGAACGGAAAGGTTGTCTAAATTTTCCTCTTATCCTGTTCTAAAGATTGTCGGTACGAATGGATCAAATAATGAAATCTCCAAAACCAATACTAAAAGTCCTCCATCTTTTCGCCTTGCTGTTTGAAACAAATCCTAGAAACCTAAACATTATCTTCT